AGGACTTCTTGTTGCAAGTAAACATCATCTGTTCTATCTCCCCATTCGCCCATTCCCTTGTGGCTACTATTTTGCTGTTTTTATGAGTTTGGCTTTTTTAGATTCTAAATATTAGCGATATTACTCAGTATTAGTATTTGTTTGACATATTTCACTTAGTATAATGTCCTCAGTGTCCACAAAGCTGTCACAAATGGCAGTATTTCCTTCCTTCCCATAGCTGAATAATATTCTATTGCGTGTATTCATAACATTTCTTATCCATTCATCTGCTGATGGGCACTTACATTGGCACTATATAATGGCAACTGTGAATAGTGCTGCACTGAACATAGGGGTTTACAGACCTCTTTGACATACTATTCAAAATGGTTTAAACGTCTGATAAATTTCTCATAAAAAATAAATATGCCTTAGTACAACTGTTTATTATGAGAATATAAAGTCATGAAAATCTAACAATAATCTAAATGCCCAAATGGAGGATTCGTTAAAGAATATAGTCTACCATAAAATAAAATACTAAACATTTTCACCTCCTGAGGTCATCTTGATACCTGACATAAGTCTTCCTTACCATTTTAACTAATGTCAGAATAATATTTTCTTTGACAAAGATCAATGCTTAAATACTGAAGTTTTTAAAGAAGCTAACACAAGGTGCTTAAAATATGCTAAGATGCTGTTCGTTCTAAATGCTCAATCTGTTCCTTACAGCGTCCTAGTGAGGTGGACCTGTTACTATCATCCTCAATTTATAGATTCAGCTGGGGGTCTCTGAGAGGTTATCTGCCCAAGTACATAGAGCAAGGATACTCTAATCCAGGATTCTGGCCCCTGCTTCCATGTACTTAAACAGAATGCCAAATTGCCTTCAGAGGACCAAAAATTAGGTTGGAAATTCTACTCTGTCAGTGTTTTTAAACTAAAGTTCTCAAACTCGGCTGCCCACGGGAAGCCAGATAAGTCATGTGAAGAAGTGAAACAGAGCAGGTGGGGTTTGGGCCACGTGGAGGGTCCGTTCCATCACGGGAAACAGCCCTTGTCTGTGTCATCTAGTGTTGCTTCCTGGAAATGCATACCTTCCAAGTTTTTAAAGAGAAACGAGAGAAATCTGGATTTTTATGAAAGTTCCCTTCTATTCAAAAAGGCAAAGAAAGGAAAGACAGGGAAAGAGAGGAGAGGGAAGGGAAACCATGCAGGACGCATTCATACACACACCCCCGACCTGGAGGAGGGAGTCAGTCTGGATGTGGACCACCTGTTTGCAGCCTCTAAAAACTTAGAGGTTGAATCTGATTAATGGCCTCTGGTTGACATTTTTTTTACTCTGGTTGACTTTAAAGACATATTCTCACTCTAAACCACCAAATAATTTTACTTTTTAAACATTTGATGTGTCTAACCTATTGGAGGCTAAAGATTTCTGTTATTCAGTTGGTGAGGGGAGGGGGAAAGTCTCAGGGTGGGGCCAGAAAGTGGAAGCTTTGGAGGGACAACTGTCTCAGGGCGAGGCAGTCTCTCCTGAGTGCATGGAGGTGCTGTGACAATTACATAGCGAGTATGTTATCCAGTGGTGTGAACTTCTTATCTATTTATAAGTCAAGAGATTTTTAATTACAGGTGTTAGCCAAGCAATCTGGGCTTTTCTTTTTGATTCTTCAGTTGGTGGATAATGTAACCTCAATTAACAAGGCAAACAAAGGAAGATGCCATTTCAAAATTAAATAGTACAATTAACTCTCTGTGGGAAAGGGAAGTGTACTCAGGGACTGAGAACCCCTCATCTCCTTCTAAGTCTTTCAACTTCCAGTTGCTGAACTTGGAGCTATTCAAAATTTATACCCCTCTTAGCAAACCAGGTTTCTTGGCTCCAGGCATATGACATAGAAGGCCTTCTGTATTCCTGGCTTTAGGAGACCTTCCAGCTTTTGGTAGCAGGTGTCCAGTATACTTATTTTCAATTGTCTAAACCACAGGTGGCAAACACAAGGCCCTCTACCTTGTTTTATCTGGCCCAGCACCTTGTTTCTACCCTGTGGCAGGGCTGAGCTCCTGGCCCCTAGTTAAGGAGTAGCTACAGCTCTAAAATCACATTGGCCCTTTGAAGGCAGACTTGAGGCTGATGTGGCCCCTGGTGAAAATGAGTCTGACACCCCTGGTCTAAAGCCAAATTACAGATACAGAAAGTTTAATAAGTAAGATACAACGCTTTTTTATTTCCAAATATAGCCCTCTTTTTTATTGTGTTTTTACTTATAATTCATGCCATAGGTTTAAATTTCCTATTATTTTGAAGTTTGATAGGGTATGAATAGTGGCCATTTTGGAGGGAAAAGGGATCAATTAATACCTTTTCATGCACAAGATCCTTCACTATGTCCTGTAAACAGAAAAGAATCAAATGTTTGCCCCATTCCCACCGAGGGCTTGAAGTAGTTTTGGATAAATGAGCCATTTATACAAGTAACAACAATACAAAAACTGCATAAAAAGTATAATACAGAGGACATAGATGGCCATAGTAGCAGGATTTTTAAGAGAGAGAGACTTCATGACATGAAGTGTTCAGAGGCCTTCAGAAAGTAAATGGAGTTTAAGCAGGACCATGAAGAATGAATAAACTTCCAGATGAGAAGGGCAGAGAGTGACAGGAAAGGTATTATAAAGACAGATGTGAAAGAAAGAGAGGGAAAGATGGGCTAGGGCTCAGCAAGGGAATACAACAGAGAATTTCAGTAAGGAAGGAAAGAAATGCAAACCTGGGGAAGTGGTCTGCATGAGCAGAAAGTAGTCAAAACCAAAGATGGGAAACTATTTGAGCCAATTATCATTAATAATAAAATTAGAGGGAAAAGCTGACCTGGGGGGAGAAAATAAGTTGGATTCATTGTGATATTTCATGTGATGGTAGGTCAGCCAAACATGGAACCAAAAGATAAAACTATGTATTTTCAAAATCTGGGCCCAACCGAATTTACCTTTGCCTTGTTTTGACCCTTTATTGCCTGAGTTAAGACTGTGCCATTTGATTTCTTATCCATCACATGCAAATACATAAGATCCTTACATTTTTGGAACAAGAAGCGTCCTTTGAAATTATATATTTCATTTTGCCAATAAGTTAATTAAGGGCCCAGAAAGATTAAGTTATTAGCATGAGGTCACAGTGTCTATGAGAAATAGAGGCAATACCAAAACACAGTCATTCACTGATTTTTTTTCTCTTAAAAATGTTTATGCATAAAGGCACAGAAACACATGTTTAGATACGCTTTTTTAAACTCAGTATTTTCCCATCTTTGGGTCCCTCAGTCCCTCTTTCCCTGTCTCCAACTCACCACACTCCCTCCATTCAATGCCTAATACGTCTTCTTCCAAATATTTTTAGAATTTATATAATCATATACAAACGTGTCTGTACACACACACAACTTATACATATGTACACTTTAAGTCATTGCTTTACAAAAATGAAAACATATATACTCTTTTCTGTACTGTGCTTTTCTCATTTAACCACTCCTTGGGGAAATCTCTCTCCTGTGAAAAGTTACACCCTAATGAATGGGTTCCTTTAATGGTTGTGTAATGCTCTACAGTAGACATATGCCCTGATTTTTTCTACCATTTCCCTATTCATGGAGATCAGTTTGTTTTCAGTTTGTGCCTCTACAAATAGTATCTCAATAAACATAGATATATACATATATATTTACATATCATATGTGTAATATATGAGGGTGTGCGTGTGTATATATATTTGCTAGTATGGTTTTTTTCTATTTGGGATCACTGGGTCAAGAATATGTGTATTTTTAGTTTTAAAAATTGAACTGCTTCACTAAGAAAGCTGTAACAACACATATTTATACCTACAATTTTAAAAATGCTTTCTTTAGCTAGGTCTCCCCAGACTATAGTGTTATGACTTTAAAAAGTTTTTCCAAGTGCAATCATTGTAAAGTATAATCTAATTGTTACATGTTTGCATTTCTTTGACTACAAATGAATTTGACCATCTTTTGTAAGCTTATAGAGTGTGTTGCATTCATATCTTGCTGATTGCATTTTCATATCCTTTATCTGTTTTTGCAATGAGACATTTTGTCTCCTTGTACATTTTTAAGAGCTTCTGCTGTGTTATAGATATTTTTGCTTGTCTTCTAAAGTTTCAAACTTTTTCCCCAAACCTATTGTTTTTGTGTATAGTATCTTTTGCCATGTAAAATTTTGAGTTTTATTTAGGCACACATGGTTAGGTTTTTCTTGCAGTTTCTCTGTTTTTTGCCTTTCCAAAGGAAGCTTACCCTCCCTGCCCCTAGATTATAGTTATAGTTCCTAGGTTCACTTACAGAATATTAATTAGTTTATTTATTTATTTATGTATTTATTTATTATTTATTTATCTTTTTGTTTTCTATTTATTTAGATTTTAACCTTTAATCCATCTAAATCCATCTAGGGTTTATATTTGGATTTAGTATAAGATAAAGACTTCATTTTCTCCCAGATGAATAAACAGCCAGTCCTTTACATTAAGTAACCCATCCTTTGGCCACTAAATTGAAATGCCTCTCTTGTTATACACCAAATACTCATTTATATGTGGATATATTTTTTGATATTCTATTTCACATGTCTATTTAGGCCTATTTGAGTGCTTATTGATTTGATCACAGTATCTTTACAGGATTTTCTGAATCTGGTTAATCAGATTACACAAGTGAGTTATAAGGTAGTTATAAATGCTTACATGAACAATTAAAAACCTATTTGCTAGAGAGCAGTGAGATGCAAAAAGAAGCTGATATATCAAAATAATGCCTGTATACTAAAAATACTTTTCTAAAACTTTACTTTCTAAGATCTATATATTTTTAAATGAACAAATTTGGGGAGAAAAGATTTAATGAGTTTTTGAGCTCTACAAATGACAGGTGTGTTTTCAATTGTTAAATGCTGTACCATATTAATGCTGCTGTTTCCCTGACTCGCAGATCGGTCCTTTGGAGGAATCGTCCATCCCTGACTGTGTCTTTGCTCTGAGCTACGACAGCTTCCCAGTGGGAGCACTGCTCAGGCGAGTGCTCTGAGGTGTCCTGAAGAGAAATTCCATGGGGACTGTACCTGACCCTCTCAGATCAGCTAGAACTTCCCTGATCACAGCTTCTGGAAAAGAAGAGGGTCCAGGAGAGGTACAGGCTGCCTCACCTCAGCTGCAACCAGCCCTCCTGTGTAAGAACACCAATGGCCTTCCCAGCAAGCCTACAGAACCAGACCTCAGTCCCAGAGCAGCTTCTGGGGCCCTGATGCAGGCCCGCAAGCATGAGACCACCCAGCCAGACATGTCTTCTCCTGGCATCTTCAATGAGGTAGAGAAAGCATCTCCCACACTCAACTCCCCTGGCAATACCCAGCTGCCAGGAAACAGCAAGCCCACAGCACCAGCCCCGTGTTCTACAGAAGTTAAGGATCTTGTACATGCAGCATTTACAATGCCAGCCAGTCAGCACACCCATCAGGTCATCCCAGGTGACTGGCCCAATGCCAGCACCCTGTCAGGATCTGCAGATACATTGGGGAAAGTACAGAGAACCTCGGATGGGGAGCAACCTGAGAAGTCAAGCTGTCCTGCGGGACACACTTGTAGCAGCAGCAAAGATCAAGTGCCCTGTGATTTTCCCTCTCAAGAATCAATCCAGAGAATGGTACAAACTGCAAATCCAGCAGCCAGGGTGTTCAGTCATGCCTCCTCTCCTATAGGTGAGCCTAATGAGGAAAGTCAGGGAGACATTTATGACTCCAAGACAAGGTCCTGTGAATCTCCAGCAAAAGGAGATGGATGTTCATGGAACAAACAACCCTCTGCTACCACCTCAGACACCCAGGCCTTGACTTCTGTGACACTTCAACCATCTCACCTCACTAGCAAAGATTCGACGTTTCCTCCAGATTCAGAGAAGATGCCTCCACCAGCACAGCATCAGGTGTCAAGGTTCAAGGAAGCGAGTACGATGACCAACCAAGCTGAAGATGAAATCAAGGAAGTCAAGGAAGTTCCCAAAAGGGCTCAGCAAGATGCTGAGGTGCAGGCAGTGGTGAGTGTGGAGAGCAGATCTGTCTCCACCAGCCCCAGCATCCTCCCTGCATTCTTAAAGGAAACACCTGCTCCTGAGTGTTTAGAACAAGAGCAGCTGCAGGTCATTTGCCACAGCAGCGGGAGCAGCACATTGGAGCTGTCAGTCAACACCCTAGGCCCCCAGGAGTCAGGGCAGCACCTTGGCATCATGCCAGAGGTGCACATCCAAACAGCCACAGCTGTTTCCGCAGCTTTCCAAAAGGATAGTAAATTGGTGAGCCTACCAGGTGAGGTCCTCAATACCTCAGCAAGCAATGTGGCATCCAGTAACGCTCAGTATACCTGCATAGAAGATGGGAGGTCAGCAGGAATGGCCCCTGTGAGGGCAGAGCCCACCTCTAAACAGCTTTCAGGTACTAATTCTAGCTCCCTGAAAGTTAGCCTCATTGACCAGATTTCCATCTGTGCAGGAAATCAAGATGAAACCAGTCACGGATTTGGGAAATTTGAAACTAAGCCATCTGAGCTTGCCGGGAAAACCACAAATGACCACAAAACAGCCCCAGACTGCAAACTCTCTGACTCTTGCGGCCCTGCCATCAAAACTGAGCAGTTAGGGAGCTCGGATCCCACTAATAAAGGAGATGCAAGAGAGAAGAAGCCCGCGTCTCTTCAGATAGCAAAGGAACCAGAATCTAGGGGCAAGGGTATTTTAGATGGGAGGGCAGAGGCAGAGGACAAAACCCTACTGCACAATCCTAAATCTCAAGAAAGTGGAGGCACAGAGTCAGCTGGGCATCCCACGCCCTCCCCAATTAGAAATAACCAGGAGGGCGCCCTAGAAGAAAACAGACAGACCAAGACAGCCACCAGCCTGAGCCTGCCTTCTGATTCCATGGGTGACTCCAGTCCGAGTTCGGGCAAGAGGACCCCTTCTCGCTCGGTCAAAGCCAGCCCACGCCGGGGCAGCCGAGTCAGCGAGTTTCTCAAGGAGCAAAAGTTAAACGTGACAGCAGCTGCCGCGCAGGTGGGCCTCACTCCAGGAGAAAAGAAGAAGCAGCTTAGCGCTGACTCCAAGCTGCAGTTGAAACAGTCCAAGCGCGTCAGGGACGTGGTGTGGGACGAGCAGGGCATGACCTGGGAGGTGTACGGCGCTTCCCTGGACCCGGAGTCCCTGGGCGTCGCCATCCAGAACCATTTACAGAGACAAATCCGCGAACACGAGAAATCAGCCAAAGCGCAGAGCAGCCAGACCCGGAGATCCATTTCCTCAGATACTTCTTCAAATAAAAAGCTCAAAGGCAGGCAGCACAGCGTTCTGCAGTCCATGCTGCAGAACTTCCGACGCCCCAACTGCTGCGTGCGTCCTGCCCCTTCCGCGGTGTTAGACTGAAAGGGAACCAGTGTGGGGACCCTCCAGCGAGCGCGCTTAGGGGCGTCGTAAGTGTCCGTCTATGTCAAGGCTTACTTAGCTTGTTCCTGAGAGACCCAGAAGAGAAAGCGAATATTAACTATAGGAAATTACTATTAAGAATTGTTGGGCCCTTTGATTAGAGATTCATAAACTAAAATGTCATTTTGACGTGACAGAAAGAAAAAGAAAAGCAAGCTTCGCTGAAATTTTATGATCTTAACTAAGAGGAAATAGATTCACTGGATTTTTTTAATATGCTGTTGCTTATAAAATCAGCAGTATCATTATACATGTGTCACTTTGCATTACTGGCTCAATTTATCACACTATGGTATTTCCATTACAATCCTTGCTTTGTGTTAAAAATACCAAAAACACTATTAGCAAGACTGCTGGCTATACTTTCTAGTCCTATTGCAATAAGAATGCTATTACCACACAAAATTTGAGTAGCTGATAAGAACTATGATGTAAAAAATGGAACCAAATTTGACTCATTCCTAGGCCAAATAACATTAAGTAAAAGCATTTCAATTCATAAAATGCCAAATATGAATTTATATTTATAAGCATCTACAGATAATCATTTTTATAAACCTTGTTATTCCTCTAAATAAATTTAAGAAAGTTATATTAGGGAAATTAGCTATGCTATTGAATATTAACACTGCCCACGTAAAACGTGAGTTTATAGAGAGAGATTGTGTAGCACTGAAGGCACCGGGCATCTCTGTGATTCTGACTAGATTAAATTCATAGTTCCCTTCCCTAGAGGAAGTACCTGTCACTGAGTTCTTGAAAAGAGTCATCAAGTTATTGATAATACTAAGTTTTATGTTGTACAGGTGTTCTCCAAAACATTCTACTGGCAATATTACCTGACAAATGCTCTTCCTTCCGTGTTAAAGAAAAGGAAGCTTCCCGAGTAACCGAAATAGTATGTTCAATCTAGACTCCTGTAAACAGGATGCAGTTTGTGTTTTTCTTTTGATTTGGTTCAGTGGCTTCTAATAGAAAATGTAGTCAACAGCAAATAGAACACAAGTTTCCCTACAATTTTTGTAAGTTAGATTAATACCATGTAAGTGTTTAGATTTTTAACCTTTAGCAAAAAGGTAACCTCTGCAAACTTATTGATTTTAAGAGAAATACTACCATATCTCATCCTTCAAACCCAATAAAAGAAAGGCCTTTCCCAAAACACAGATTGAGCTTTGGTCCTTGAGAATACAGGCACCTGTCTGAGCTCAGCTCTCACACGTCTGCAGAAACCCACCCTGTCTATAGGACCCACTGGTGTTCCGCAGGGGCACTGGGGTAAGGATGATCAGCAGTGGCCTGAGAATTGGGGTAGTGTGGGAGAGGGGAATGAGCTAGAGCCTGGGAAAGCCTTCCCCTGCTAGATTTGTTGTGGGGACAACACTGCTGACCACCGTGCATTCAGAAAAATCAGATTGCCTTCTCTAAACTCATTCCCCTACATGAGACAGATGGCCATGTAGCCTCTCTCTGAAGACTCATAAATGCCATTTTTACATGAAAATGGAAAATCTCTGTTCTGGCTTTTTTTTTTTTCATTCTAATTCTCTTTTGCAGACAGATGCTGAACATATGGGGGGAATCATACCTGAACTTTAACATCACAAACTACACAGGGCAAACCTAAATAAATTAGTAATAGCCATTGATTTCCTTCAAAACGACTGGCCCGTATACGAGAGCTGCCTGAGTCGGCCATGGTCACAGCATTCTCAGAGCCTAGGAAGCGTGCTCAGCAGTGGTTGTATTTGGAGCTCATAATGAACTTTCCAGGGATACATTTTTCAGTTTCTCACCAATTGGCCTCTGTTAAGAATGCTCTCTAAAGTAGAAATTACCATCAAATTAGAAATCAAATTACTATTAATGATTAGAGATTTGGTCTAAACCTCTCTTTCAGTCTTAAATATCCATTTATAGTAATGTTCATTTCACTTCCTTTGGAAATGCCTTTTCCAGGATGTAATCTCACTTGCTGGCTGTGCTCCCTCACACACTGGCATACGTACCATGTGCACACAGAGAACACCCTGTGTACACAGTGTCAGCTGTCAACAGTGCCCACTGCAGCCAGGTGGGCCCCAGGTCATCCTCTGCTGCGAAGTAGCCAGAACAGGCTGTTCCTGCATTAAAATAAGAGAAAAGGAAGAATTTAGCATCTGGTAATAATATTCATTTTCATGAGTTACTTGTAGTAACCACATGATTTATAAATAGTTAAATGAGGCAAAGGCCTAAAAGAGTCATAGGCATTTGTTGCACACCAAAATAAATTTAAAATTAAATTAATTAAAACTAAATTTCATGTTTTAGCTTTGCCTCTCATAGTAAAATTTAATGTTTGAGGTGGTAACTTTAAATGGGGTTTGTTTGGGGTTTTTTTTGGGGGGGTGGTGCTGGAACTAACCTTTACTTCTTAATTTTTATTTTTTAATTTTAAAATTTTTACTTCTGCCATGCTGTAGAGATTGTCACAAAATATTACAAAAGCTTTCTCGTTTTATTTCTTATTGGATCTTATAGAGGGAAGGCTTTTAAAAACAGTAACAGAAATAAATTCTCAAACGGATAAATAAGATAGGAGCCTGTTCAAGACAACCATGGTTTTATATCATGCTTCCCTAAGTACTCTCATAAAACATCTGGATTTGGAAATCTGCTTCCACTTTGCTCCGTGACAGCACAGACATTCAGGACATGACGCATGACACCTTAGGCTCTCTCAGGTGGGGCTGCAAAACAGTGCCAGTGATGGACTTTGGATTTGTTTGGCTCTTCCTTACCTGCATGGCACACATGGGGTTGAAAGTTGTCTGGGTTTTTTTCCCTTAAATTGTTCTGGGTATGTTTTAGTTCTTTTTAATGCATTTTAGTTGTTGAAATAAATGAAGGAAATGTTTCATTAATTACATAAATATTAAATATTAACTATAAAATGGAGATGGGTTAGAACATAGTGTCTGGAAGATAATGAAACATTCAAAATGTTAAGATGCTGTCCAGCTTACCCAGTGAATCCTAGAATTTTTTATTCAAATATTGATTTTTCTATTTTTATGATGACAAGAAAATGTCATCCCTTCAGCTGTCATATGTTTATTTTCAGTGCTTTTCTAATTATGTCTTTCTGGATTATTGGGTCTCAATGCAAACACCAGCTACTTTACATATAGTAAGATCCTAATGAACCTCTGTGTGTTTTGGGCCAGTGGCATAAGCTGAACATTGTGTTAGGTCAAAGTTAACCAGCAACCTTTTTGTTTGCATCAAAAATGAAATAGTTATAAAATATATGAGTATGATTTTCTACCTTGACAAGTTCAGCCATGTTGAATATTATTTGCTTTTTACAGTGTTTAATCTTTAGGATTATCTAATACTCATTATTTCAGATACCAGTGTTCTTCACACTATAGGTTGAATATCAAAATTTAAATAAATTGGACTGAATATGCATGTTGTAACATATACCCGAGAGTTTGAATTTTAAAACCAAATCCTTCATAGGATTAAGCTTGACGTCTTAAAATAGAAAGCTGAAGAGGAGGTCCTGTCATTCTGGGGATACTTGTACATACCACGTGAAGAATATACTATGATGTGACTATAACCTTTGTTTATCAGAGGATATATATGCGTATGCTATTAATGTAAATTTTGGGGCCTTTGCTGTATCTGCTGTTACTGTTTTACTGCCTAAATGTGACAAATTGTCTTCACTTCCTCCAACATATTGTGCAAGTATTAAAAAATTTGTCCATTTCTAGTACCATATAATTCACCATACCCCTTGTCTACTTTTTAAGAATCAGTATAAAGAAAAACAATGCATTAGAATGAGGTTTGCATATATGTAAATGTGTTTTTACCGAAAATTGGGCACTTGCAGTCTTCTGTGGGCCTCTACCGGTCTGATTTGCTAATCGTCTACAATGCCGCCCTGGAGGAGGCGCTGCCTACTCTCTCCTGCTTTGTCCTGAATGGTATTTGAGAGATGAGGCCTGTGAACTTCCCTTTGTGATAAAAATACGGTGAACTCAGCAACATACTAGATAAATGAGTTGACCATCTCGGCCCCACCCTTGTTTTGTCTATATAGTAAATTAGAAGTACACATTTCCATGTGTACTATGTTATAGTCATTTCTGAGCATTTGTTTCCTGTTAGCAATGTTCCTTGTGTGGGGCCCTTTTGGTTGAATCTCTCCAACTGTCGGTCAGCTGCTGCCACTTGGCATGTAACAAGTGACATGCTGAATCTCCTGTCCATCCTTCTCAAACTGGCCTAGTGATTATAAATGTCATCTGTGCGGACACATGGCTTAATGTCTACAAAATTGTAGACATTTTTGCAAAAGGGTAAAAAATAGTCTTGTAAATATTGAAACTGATTTCCATGAACTTTATCCCAGTCCCAGAAAAAAATTCTCCTTGGCTACAGAAATTAAATAAATTTGATTTGCAGTGACCAATACATAAATGAAATGGATGAAGGTGGAAAAATTCTGTCTCACAAGTAATCAGTGACATCTGCCAGAGTCATTACAACTACTTTTAACTGTGAACATTCACCAGCTAACCTACTCACTTGCCACAACCAGATAACCTCTCTGAGTAAATCCAATACATCTGTGTATGTATGTCAATAAAAAATAACAAACTATCCCAAAAAATTACTGTTGGATCTTAGGTAATCAAGGTGATGATCATTTTAAAGGACATTTAAATAACCATGGGCCTTTGTGAAATGACTGTGGAGGCCAGAATGGTGCAACGAGATGTTATTTACACGTTGTTTGGGGGGTTTTTTGTTTTGTTTTGTTTAAGCTCCAGCTATCTCAGATAGTAATCATCAGAATAAAGACTGTTGAAAATGAAATCAAAGCCAAGCAATAATGTGCCAAAAGAGGCAGTTATACCAGCAAGTGCACCTACTGTGGGCACGCCATTGCATAATTGTAGTCTGCTCCATGAACACTGACTGGAACCCACAGGTTAAAATAAGTAAAGGTATCATTTCTCCTTTCTTGCTGGAAAAGCTGGTTTACAAGCTTCATAAAGACGCTCCACACTAGTGAGCATTATTAGGGATGTGGCTAACAGCAAGACAGAAAAGGAGTCCAAAGTCACGCTAGCTTAACACTCAAGACAGCTTCAACCAGAAACTTTGTTGAACTGGAGAACTTAAACATATGGCAGTTACTCTTCCTGGATGCTTGCATGTAGAAAAGCAGTGAAATCTGCCTGAAGGATTACCAGCCTCAGCTATGAAAAAATGGGTTCCCAAATGTAAAATGATTAAAACACGAGTACTCGTATCAAAAGGGGCCTCATATAATGCCTTACAGAAAGAAAATGATGTTCTAGATGAGCATTTCTAAATACTAATTCTTCATCGAGTATCTTCTGGGGTTCAAGCTCAAAGTCTACTGGCTGCAAAACAGTAGAAATCAAAGTCACATAATCTGCACTGCAGAAAAAGGTACTGATGATCATCCAACATGCTAATTATTATGATGCTAGATAACCCAGAAATGTAAGTGTGTTGAAGAGAATTAAATGGGAGACATATGCCAACTTCTTTTTTGATTTCTTAAGATGTGGGAATGTCATCCACTTTTTTCTGGGGTGAAAATTATAGCTTGCTTTTTGATGTTGCTGTCAGCATTACTATTTGTTACTTTAAACATTAAATTGTCTCTTCTTTAGAAAAACTTTTAAGCAATTGCACAATTTTTCTCTGATTCATATTATTGCTTTTAATATTATATAAATGCTATGTACAGAGCAAACTATATTGAATGCATAGAAAGAGCTTGCCCAGGTTTATCGGTATCTTTTAATGACTTTAGATTAGATTCCCGAACAGTTATTTTAACTGCATCTTTGAGGACATTATTTTTTATATGATGTTTTTCATCATATCTTAAAATGATGTTGGTAAATCAGGAGATTGCAGTATTGTAGTCATGCTTCTGAATCCCTGCAGGAGAGGGGAGACTAATTCTTGTTTTAAGGGCATCGTGAAATATCTTTACTGAGGTTAAGAAAGGTCAATGGGGCCTGAAAACTCCAGAAAGAAATATACTAACAATTACTAAATTTCTAAATGTATTTATCTCTGCTGTAGTAATATGTTGTGAACATGTTGTACATAATACTGTAGCTGGCTGTGGTATGTCAATATATTTTGTAAGTGTGTACAGTCTGTGAGTGGTTGGTTTTCTGTTTTTATGTGTAGAAAAAAATAACATGCTGTATTCCGTTATAAGGCCAAGTTCTGTCACAAGGTAGGCACATTTGCAAAAGTGAATAAAGCCAGAAAAATGTGCGTGTGTATTCAGTAACAGTCCTTTTCATTTTGAAGGTCAGAAAGGGCTGTTGGTTTTTTTTTAATCCTCTTCAAGAGTAGATAACTTAATTATCACAAAGGTTGAATATAGTAATCAGTACATTGGCATGTTACTAAATATGCCAGGGCTAATTAACCATACCATTAGTCACAGGTAAGGTCAGTTCTTTGACCACTGGGACGATTTACATTCCTCACACATCTTCTCTGTGTTAAGTGTGTGACTAGGATGTACATACTATGGGTGTGATTGTGTACATACCTCGTATGAATTTTCTCAATCCTCAAAGCAGCTATAGGAAAGTGGAAAGAAGAAACAGTTATTTAAAAGCCTCAAAAGGGCTAATCAATGTGTATTTTAATTTTCTACACATAAAAATGTATACATAACATACTGTAAATAGTTTATCCACATATACATGCACACAAATGCATTTTATTCATACCAGTATATTTAAGTAAATCACAAAACAACTAATCAAAAACTGCATTTTTCTATGACTGTTCTGCTTCACACATATTAGTATTGGGTCAGAGGCTTTCCATTAAATGGTGTTATTTCCTGGTAGCAGATTTGGAAAATTAGGAAGTCTCAGCTGGTCCACAAAGATCATAGTTAGCATCTTACTGGAGCACATGCTGTACCCGAAGGGTTCATGTTTCTTTAAGGACCTAATTTTATATGTCAAAGTTACAAACACTGGGGAAACCAATTATGTTTTGTAGATCCTATTTGTACATTTATTAGTGTGTTTATTTGCACAGGCTGATAAAAGCCCTATATATTTTAGAGGTATATCCCTAGATTTCAAGAGCATTTAATCACATGGAATGAAAAATGATTGTAGACATTTTTCTCTTGAGATCAGCAAAACAGTGTTTAGCCATACCAAAGAGAAGTCTAGAGTGAAAAACTTGCTTTAATTACAGATGATGTTAGTAAGAGAGTGGAATATAAGCAGATATGAATACCTTAAGGTGGACTCACATAAACTCCTGTCATTGACAACAAGTGATTCTGTGTGGACTCAGTAACAAGATCAGAGTCATTAGCCAGCAAAGGTTCGACACTGGACAACATTTTTCAACTTACCATGATTTCAACCTGAGAACTGATGTTGTTTGAGGTTCTCTCATTTCTTCTGAAAGGAAATACACTATTAGAATCAAGTATGATCTGGTTCCTAACCTAATATGATTTGACCCCAATTCCTTGACACAAACATATGTTGGCTGGTTATTAAGTTGAAAATAGGAATGGAAATACCAGAATTCCCCATTAATAGGGAATTCTGTATGGCAAAGTGCAAATATAACCACTTCTCAGTAGAAAGTTAATGATAGTATTTAATATATATTCATGTTTAGAGAATGAATGTGCCATCTGTATGTCTTAGATAAAAATGAAAGGTTAGCCAACCATAAGAGCACTACAGTTAATCATAGCTCACTGTGTTTTTTAAGTACTAAACACATACTTGTTTATAAAGCAGCATATCTGAAATCTTGATGTTTGTCAATATTTACTGTTGCTTACAAGATAAATATATACAATTATTTTGGACAATATGTATTAACTTAAGTCTCCTCCCAAAAAAGTTATAGCTGTCCATGTGAGAGTCACTTATGTTTGTAAATACTCAGCAGAGAAAGACAAAAAGTAGTGGAAGTTAAATTACTGAAGAAACAGTAATACCACATTGAAGTTCCATTTGTGAATATATCAATATTAGAATCTAAAATTATGTCCTCACAATGTCTACATATAAAGGTCATAAAATGGTTTATTCAAGAAAGTCCCCAATCTTTCAGAAATTGACCTACCATTAAATTCTATTTCCTAGAAAGTACATAAAATGTTATGACTTATATAAGGATAGATGAAGACTTTGGAATTATATGGATGAATGAACAAAATTCAATTATGCTTTACCCTTGAAAATTTTTTAAATATGATTTTTGCATCTCATTTTCATAATAAATGTAATATAGATTAAATTTTTCTGTCTTTGTTTTTTGTTGTTATTGTTATTGCTTTTGCCATTGCCATCATAATCGTTCTCTTAGCTCTAGATGTTTAGAATCAATTGATTTTCAGGGTGGCACACTTCTGCTTAGGAATCTGCAGTGGAGCTGAAAGTATTTTACAATGAAAGTAGAACTTCCAAAGAAGTAACAATACCTGTAGGTCATCAAAAACAATGGTTTTTCCTGCTCTTGATGGCAGAGCAGAGTGTGTGTGTGTGTGTGTGTGTGTGTGTGTGTGTGTACATACTTCTGCTCTTGCTTGGCGAGAATGATGAGAGCTTGGCCTGCATGAAAATACAGGAAGGGGTGAGGGGATGCAGCCATCAACTCCTGTGGAGGCATGAACCACCTACATTTAGGCTTACATTGCCTCATGTCTGGGCTTAGCTGTCTCTTTTCCAGGAACATTCAGGTGTGTGCTGTGGAGATCCAGCTTCTCTGCCTACTCCTGGGTAAAGTCAGGATCCTACAGTCAAGATTCCAGGAGATAGAAAGCCCCACCTTGTCTTCCAATATAGCTTAACCATTAGTAAAATTAATGCCATAAATTGGATTTCTTTTTGCCTCCTTGAACCTGACTTCAATTTATCAACGTATTGTAGAGTAGGAAGCATACAAGATTTATGAACCCCAAATTTCAAAAAATGATTTAATAAACTTTCAACAGGGGTTACAAAACTTCTGAGGGCCATACGCTCCCCCAGCTACTCTGTGTGTATAAATGCAGGCTGTTTCCAACTGAAGTGGTGTCCTAGTGCTGCCATCCTGTAACTTGCATACTTAGACATTCATTCTTGGCAGAATCAATCCTCATGTGTTTCCAAGGGTGTAAATGCTATTCATGGGTAAGTTGAATCATGCAAGAGGTCCTCAGTGGGGCTGAAATTATTTTTCTTATGCCAGTGGCTGTTTATGTCTCACCAACAGGTGTTTTTCCTACCAGGTGCCACTTCCAGACAGCTATTCTCACACATCCACATCTTTCATGTCAAGTAGGAAACACAAGGGAAGCCTTCTTGGCATGGTCAGCCTTCACTGGACTTAATGTGAACTCAAAATACCTCTTGTTTCTTGTGAAGGGTCTGCCTTTTGTAAACCATATAGGATCTCTTACAGACTGCCACACATCCACAATGAACTAGAGAATACAACATTCCTTCATTTTCCTCAACATCATCGGTGACTGTTGGTGAGCTAAATTAGAAAGTTCTAAAATCTTTAGACCCAACCGGTTTTTCTAAATATACCACAGAGGACTAACATAGTCAAAATTCAAATTGTCAGGCAGATAAAAGTGCTCGAAGAGGTTTCTGATGGGTGTATTGGCATCTCAGGGGTGATATTTCCTTCCATCTTTTTTTATTCCCACTTGACAACTCTCAGTCAAACTGAAAAGGAACTTTGGCCTGCTAGTTAAAAAAAAGAAAGAAAAACTAAGCAGAATATCATCGTCAAAGATATTATAGGTGTTTAAAAGCAAGATAAGATTTCTTAAAGGGCTGGAAAGTATTTGCTCATTATCTATGTTCTTTTTGCCCAAAGTCAGTACAAAGATTAATGGCGACGTTCCAGGCATTCTGCTGAACCCTTCCACCTATGTCTCAACTTCATCAGGCATTGTATATAAACGCAAATTGTTTTCCAGTCAATTCTTTTTTAGTGGTAAGTATTTGAGACATATGGATTGGATATTCAAAGAGATAACTAGTAAATAGTCAGTCTTTTTACCAAAGAACCCTGAGTTCAAATTTCAACTTTAAAGCTAAATTACTTAGCCAAGTCATTTAATATTTTTGAGGTTCGATGTACTCATCTGTATATTGTGGATAATAATACACAGTTTGCAAAATTGTGTGACTGAATGACAGGCAAAACAAATGTCAGTTTCTTCTGCTACTCCTTTGAGTTTTGCTTTCTTACTTAAACTTTATTGCTCTATTCTAAACAGACTGGCATTCTGTCATTTTCTTTCATTTAGTAACCTTTTTGTAAATCTAGGTAAATACTAAGGAAGGTTTTAAATATGGCAATATACTTAAATTGTTATTTTAAATATATTTCCCTTTTTGTTTAAAGCATAAGGATAACACATTTAAGCATTACAGTTGTGAGATCTTCAAGAATTAAATAATTTTGATTAAGCTTTACTTTGTCACAGCAAATATGATTTTTACAATATATGGTTAAAGCTAATAAAATGATCAATTCAAAAAGGAGAAACAGGGAAACAATTGGTAACTTTACACTAATATTTAAAATTTGGAAATAATAAAAGATTTTATATGCAAATAAAAGTCACAACTGACAAAACATTATAATCTAGAACACCTACAAAGGAACACCTACAAATCAGTTACAAAAAGACGAACAATATAACAGAGATTTGTTAAACCGTGTAAGCAAGCATCATAAATGTACAAAAATATGCTCAAGTTCAGTCACAAGTCTCTATCCCCACAGCTGATGCAATTGGAGAAGACCGTCCAGATTCATGGGGGCTGAGTTAGGAGCTTTATGTCCAAGAGCTGGAAGAGAGAACTTCACTTGCATTAAGAGGTATGCAAGTTGGAGATCCCTGGTATGATGTGTGTGTGAGGAACAGAGGGAAGCAGTGTGTGTGTGTGTATGTGTGTGTGTGTCAACACCCACACATGTCCATGAGCAGCACACATTCATATCTAAGGGAGAAGGAAAATTGTGGGAATAGTGTTCTCCAAAGAATCCACAGAAAGCCCAGTAAAACAGCTCGGGTGTAAACACCTGCCAGAGTCCCTCCGGACTCTGGAAATGCATTTTGCCATTTTCTTCCAGTTACTAAACTCTTTATAGATCTGGATTAATACTAGCCCCCTACCCATGTGGGTCTGTGGGGCTGATAAGAAAGGAACTTTTTATTATGACTAATTGAATAGTGATTATTACATGCAATCAGGCATTTTACATTTGACACAATGAGACTGAATTTGCAATTTCGAATGGCCTGTGCCTGCTGAATCCAGGGGGAGGTCCCCAAACTGAGCTAGACTATGTCACTAATGATGACCTTGCCACCTGACATAAAGATTTATATGAACAGAAAATGCTGGAAGTTCATGATCCTGACCCATGCTACCTGCTCTGCCTCCTGAAGCCTTCTGCACTTGCAGCTCCTGCTAGTCTAAAGGCCACAAAGTTACCTTGGGTTTTAGAGGTCAGCAACATCAGACCTTGCAGGGGCTCTGAAGGGAGGGTCCCAGGTGATTCCACTTGGAGTCATTCTGGCCCACAGTAAGCAGAATTCTAGGCTGACCCTCAAGATTCCAGGTCCCTGATGTACACACACCTTCCACCAGTTATTCTACCAACCACTGCTGTGAGGTGATTTTGCAGGTGTAGTCACTGGGGTCCCAAATCAGTTAACCTCATAATAGAGAGATTATCTGCATGAGCCAATCGGGTGAGCTCTTCAAAAGCTAGTTTTCTCCAGCTGGTCCCAGAAGAAGTCTGAGAGACATGCCCCAGCCAACCCGGAAGAGAGCAAGCATCCAGGTTGTGAACTGTAAATGGGGGCAAAAGGAATTGCACACACCCAGTAGGAACTGAGAGAACTCTCCAGCTGATAACTAAAAGAAACACAGCAATTCAGCCCTGCAACCTCAAGGAAATTAATTCTGCCAACAACCAGTGAGCTTGGAGGAAGAGCCCCAAAGTCAGGGCTGAGAAATGCAGCCCTGAACAACACCTTGATTTTAGCCACTCACCACTCAGAGCAGATGATCCAGACACACTGGAGTCATACTTCTGATCTACAGAAATTGCAAGATAAATTTGTTCTCTTTTAATTTTCTAAGTTTCTGGTAATTTTGTTACATACCATAGCAAGGGAAAACTAATTCAGTATTCATTTAGGGATTTGAATGACCAAAGTTCAATTCCTCTGTCAAGGACTTGTTTTTCTAAGCTGCCCAAACCAGGACACAGAAACCCTTCCATCCTGAAGTACCCATTCTCCTGTATAATCTGATGGTGGTTTTAATGGGTAAGTACTTATGTTCCTTTAATATTGACGCAAACGTAAATTTATGAATTCATGCTGGACATATTCTACTTGCTCTAGTTTGTCCACTCTTCCTCATTCTGCCCTGTTCACTTGGAGGCTGACTTGTACACACATGTCCACAGGTCCCCTTGCTAGGCTGCTACCAATTGCTTCCAGATGATCAGAGGTGTTGGTACAGATGGGTTGCCAGGAGGCGAGTGATTCTGGGACATTTATTTCTGGATCCCCATCAGGGTAGCTTGTGTTGGCTGTGTCACTCTCTGCAAAGCCAGAAACCCTTGGAGTGATATGCTTCGCCCTAACCTGTCATTAGAACCATGGTGCTGCACTGCTACCTTGTGATTGTCCTAAAGCCCACCTACGTCCTTGTAAATCACCTCTTTATAAAATTCTCAACTACCAAGTTTGAAAATACCAATTGTTTCCTACAAGAATCTGACTGATAGAGGCATCAAAGGTCAAATTCATCATCATGAAATGAAAAACATGAGACTTAAGGTAGATTTCTCCTATTTGGCCGGCTTCTCCCATCTATGCTATCTTACCTTCCAATATCGTTAGTTTATTATTCTCACCTGCCTTTAGGGATCATATTGCATACAAGTTGAACATGACTCGTTGGTGTGAATTATGTAGATAACATGCATATAAAATTTCTTTACTACATGACAGTGTCATTTTCAGTAAAGGAGAAACCTGCTGGTGTGACTAAGACACTAGGTCGTTAAAGGTATCTTCAGGTATAGTGCTTATCTTATAGTTCTTGATAAATAGCTAATGAAATTATACGCCTTTACTTCCCCCTTTTACAAAAGGAGACAATTGGTATTATTTGTCCCTTGCTCACAATTAAATTTATATATGAATTAAGTACATGAGTATTTTTTC